ACCTCCTTTTATAATCTGTGTGACCCCCAAAAAACTCATTTGCATCATAATAAATGATTCATATGCAGACATAACTGATAAATGGGCTAAATAGCTTAATATGAAAATGAGGATCTTTTAATAATTAAACATTGTCCTGGGGGCGCCGGTAGCCTAGTGGTTAGTGCACACACACCATGTAAAGAGGCTAAAGTCCTCTAAAATGGGCGGCCTGGTTTGAATCCAGCTCCTTTCATGCATGTCATTCTCCTCTATCTCTCCCATCTCTCTCGCTCTCTCTCTCTCCCAGACTATCCACCGTCCTGTCTCTATAGAGGCCCAAAAGCAAAAAAATACATCTTCAAAACAACATTGTCCTTAGAAATGAGTAAACTTCAGCGCTGTGTGGCTGCATCACCAGATTGACGGGTCAAATGCTTTTGTAAGAATAAAAATAATTTTGATTTTTAAGAAAGGACAGATTGAAGTCGTTAAAGCCCCCCAATGAATCCTTATTTTACACAGGGCCAGTTTGTAATGTCTCCCTCCTATATCTCAATTTTTTTCACCACCAGATCAAAACCAAGTAATCTGAGGGTAGCTCACGGCTAGCTCGGGAAAAAAATGTATGTTCACAAAACAATTCCAATGTTTTTTAGCAATTTAGACAGTTTGCAGGAATTCGCCTGCAAACTGTCAGCATGCCTCAGGCTTCTAATTTTGTTGCTGTGGAGTAAATCATTTCACGTTCACTAGTTTTGTATTTAAGTTTAAAAACCTGGTATTGTGACAACGCACCCTGACCTGATCTTTAACCCCTCTCCTGCTCTGACCGAGTCTACACCACCCGTCTTCCTCCCGTCTGGACTTCGTCTTCCTCCCCTGCAGACCCCACACTCTCCTAAAAAAAGAAAACAGCCTCTGCTCGGCATCATTCTTAATCCCCACCTCCACAACTGCACAGGAATTTTTTTCTCCCCCAAAGTCCCCTCCCCTCTTTTTTTTTTTTTTTTTAATGTCTTTTTTTCCGGTGCCGCTCCTTGCCGCTCGAGCCCCACCCTTGCTCAGTTTCCTGTTGGAAGCTCAGCACAATGACCAATAGCAGCAGGTCTGGCGGGTGTTTACTCTTGCTCTTGTTCCAGGAGTAACGGGAGCTGGCCAAGCCCTCCCCAGACTGTCTGCTCCTCCATACCTCCACTCCTTAATGTAGAAAACAGCCAGAAAGGGCAGAGAGTCCTGGAGGAGGAGACGTCCCATGGGCTTATGATTTCACTTTCCACGTTTTTAGAGACCCAAATTAGTCATAAACCACATGTCCAGCGGCACACACAAGAGCTCACTGTACGGCCATGTTGATGTGAGATCATGTGGCCCCGTCATGCATGATGAAGGCCCCGTCTGTCAGGCGCTGACGTGCACTCCTCGGCCACGTTGTGCTCGCTGACAAATTTGCTGTTGTTGCTTCTACAATTTGCATTCTCTCAGAGTGTTCAGGGCAGAGATTTGATGTTGAATTTTCTGATTTATTATTCATTAAGGAGCAGTTGGCTGAATGAAGCCATCTGTGCTGCAGAGTGAGGAGGAGGAGGAGGAGGAGGACAAAGAAGTCTTAGTAGATAGGTCAACAACCGTGTCTCCTCTTAATGCAACTTTTAAAACTCTTCTGCATGAACATCAATCGGCTTTATTTGCTTCAGCTCCTCGTACAGATTCTCTATTGTAGATCTAAATTTAGGAGAGGAATGCACAAAATGATTGTAATCTTCTAGGCGGAGTCGCTGCAGATTATGAGAAGAGGTCCTTTGTAACTTTATATTGTCTTTTGGATGATCCTCCTGCTTCAAAAACACATTCTGGGGTCTGATTCATTCTGCTCTGAGAACAGTCATGGTCTTCTCATCTGAGAAGTTTCCATCTTAAAAGTCTCAGCAGCAGTTTTTCTTTCTTCTCCCCCCTCCTCGTCTCTCTCCTCTCACATTCCCACTCTGCCTCTCCCTCACACACTGTACAAATCTCCTCATCTTTCTCAGCCCCGCTCCTGCTTTTTTTTTTCCTATTTTACGCTCTCCTTCTCCTTGTTACTCTTTCTCCTGGGCTGGGAGGAAGTGACTCGGTTGTTTCACGGTCCTTGGGGAACAGACAGATGGAGCTCCCTTTCCTGTAACCCTTTCTTCATCAGACCTTTAGACTATTGCAACACATCGTCTCTGTTTTGCCACAACAATTCGCTCAAAACCATCCAAACCTTGCTGGGCCTTGTCTGGCACCAGAAACATGTGCTTTTTTTTTATCATCTGGATTCACAACGTTGCTACCAATTTGGAAGAAAATAAATCAGACATTTATCATCGCACTGCCTGATTTATCAAATACAGACAAATTAGTAAACAGCAAAAATCACTTGGCTTTGCTTCACCTGAATAAATCAAGCTCAAAGCTACAGCTGTGTTTGTCGGTCTGTGGGAGTCTCCGGACTCACACAGCGTCGGGAGATAATGTGTGCATGCGTGTGTGCTTTCATCGTCGCCGTGTGGGAGGCGATGGGAGTTTGAGTTGTCTCATGTAAAGTTTGTTATTTGTCTATGAAGTGTTTGCCAACTGCAACAACACACGGGTGATTAATGTCTCTTCTTAGAGTATTGTTGACATTTAAAATCGGGTATGAATTCGCTCCTAATATTGTGATATTTTAGGGAATAGCACAGATTATCCATTTAGGAGCGTTTCCTGAAGTGCGCATCGACCGCTTGCTTCCAGATTGTGTCAGTGTGTGGGTCAGTAACAGCACTTCATCAACTGTTTGTTTGTTTTGAGGCAAATTTCCTCGCCACACACTGTTTCTCTCAGTCTCTCTCTCTCTCTCTCTCTCTCTCTCTCTCAGATGCCCCTCCTTGCTTTATATTAGAACCAGCTGTGGAACCAGAGCCCCAATGAATGGCTCTTTGTGATTTAGCTGCTCTAAAAGGTCTGTTTCTCCCCCCTTACCCCTCCGCCCTCTGCAGCAATGGCCTAACACAAGGATACGAAACAATGGGCAGAACAACAGAAAGTGTTGTTATGAAATTATGCAAAGGTCATCTATCGAGGTTTTTTTTTTAAGGCTGTGAACACCCCCCCGACAAAAATGTCGAGCGGACTTTGGCCGCAGACTGACGGGCAGAGTCTGAGACTCAGCAGACACAGTCATGCAGCTTATCTGTTCTGGGTACTGTAGGAGTCTGTGTTTGTCCATAAAGGGAACACATTACAAGCCCATGAAGTCAGTTTGGTTTTTAACTCATTCTCTTTTAACTCTCACAGAAGGAAATCTGTGCTGAGGTTGTTCTGATCCCAACGCCGGCGCTGAGAATGCCTCAGATTGCCGCATAAATTGCGTTATGTAGCAGCTAGTAGCGACACAATGCGCTAGATTCAATACTGTAATTTTTAAGCCCCCTGATAATATTTACTTGTCTCTTCTCTCCCAAAAGAGTTATGGACACAGCACTGATAAACATTTTGGTTTACACCAGAAGAAACACTGTTAGCTTAGCTAAGAAGAGCTGATATCACGTGACGTTAGCAAAACAACTGTGTGGTGTTAACAGGGCGGCCCAAAGTCAATCAAAGAAGGCAATCAGATCTGATGTCATTACTAATTAGCGCCCAATTCACTAGCTCCTTCTTCAAAAAGTAGCCTTGTTTACAGACTATTGTCTCTACTACGTCTTTAAAAGCCACAAAGAAGAACAGAGCTGCTAGCTAGCAGAAATTCAGAGATTAGTCGTAACTTGCTAGTTAGACGAACGTTTAACAACCAGCTGTCCAATTTAAAAATTTCACATTTAGATAACAGTATCACATCAAAACACAAGATTAGGAGTTAGCGCTACAAAAATCTTTCACTTCACTTTTTAGCGCAATTCAGCCCGGCCTAGAGGAGCTGCCACTTCCGTTAGCTTAGCTTGTTTCTAGCTAGTTCTGAATTTTTTGACATCTAACAATGATAGCTTTCATATGAAACCACGTTAAACAAAACCACGCAGGGCCAAAAGAAAAGCCTACAGCTTCTTAATAGTAATGAAAATATGTTCACTGTATAGTTAAAGTCAGACGAGAAGCAATAATTCACTTCATGGCTGCCAATAGTAACCGCTGTTTCTTCTATGATGTAGGTAAGTTATCACGTCACGTTAGCAAATACAAGTGAGGCGTTAGCAAAGAGCACAGCATCAGTCAAAGCTAGCTAGATGTCAACAATCAGAGTTTTGCCGTCACATATTTTAAGATGTAAAAGGTTAGCCTAGCTTTGAGGTTAGCATTCTTTCTGGAATCGGTATCATAGTATACATCAAGTACACATTAATTAGAATGGGTAATGTTTTCACCATGGGACCTGAGGGGTTATTACAATTTGCTAATACTCGAGTTTAAGTGTCAGGGTCGGTATTGGAGAGGAAAAAATGGAACTGGAACATCTCCACTGAGTTTACATGACGGCTGTCCCCACATAAACTGGAGGGCGTAGGTTTGTCCCAGGGGATTTGAGAGCGTTAGTCACACAGACAAGTAAACAGAGAGCCTTGCCCAATCACATGGCAGGGAGGCTCCCAGCCTTGAATTGATTAGAGAGCCTCGAGTTGGAGAGAGGAATGGTGTGTGTGTGTGTGTGTGTGTGTGTGTGTGTGGGGGGGGAGTGTTTCTACAAAGCTCTGCGTGGATCAGGCTTCATCCAGAGGTCAGAGAGTGATTGGCATATCATGGAGGGATATTGTTCACATCCGCCGTGTCTGTCAAAACCACGGGAATGTTTGGGAATGTTTTTTTTCTGCTTTGCAACTTGTGTTTGACGGCTTGCAGAGGTGGCGGCTCTTTTGCAACTTGTTACAAGTCTGTTCTGCCTGCATGTCAAAATTGCCAACACACCTTTTAATAAGAGTCTTACTGAGTAAAGTATCCTGTTGTTTGCATTTCTCTGTACTAAAAACTCCTACAACCAAAAGCCCTGACGACCATATCTCCTGTATTCTTGTTCCCAACAGGTGTTGACTGTAAGAGTGCAAGAAAAGGAAAGGGAGAGCAAAGAGCCTGGGGAGGAGAGATCCCGTCCTCGCAGCACAAGCAGCTGGTATGAAGCGGAAAATAAATCCCTCATTTCCTAATTCACAAACCATTCCTGAACTCGAGGAGAATAGTAATGACTAAAAGTCTGAGGGAGTCAGTGGAAAAAAAAAAATCCTTAAAGATCTTCTGTGGGTGGCGGGAGGACTGATATTTCTGACTTAGCAATACAGAGCTTTAATCCTTTGTAATGGCAATAATAATAAGATGACTCACTGAATGGAAGCAACGAGTTTGATAAACCTGGGAGAGCTGACCTCGAAATGAAGCCTGGCATTTTAAATTACTCTGCAGGGTGGTCTCAATCCTCTGACACACCGAGGGCACCAGATTCTGTATACACGAGGTAAATCAAATCCAGTTTTTAAACCCTAAACAAATCGCATGGAAGCAGAAGCTGCAGCATGAAGAGGAACATTTTGCAGAAAAAGAAGCAGCAGCAGCTTTGTAATGCAGTTATTCTCATGACATCGTACAGGACATACCACAGACATGTAATCTGTGCTGGGTGACCTGCATCTTACCCCCCTGAGGGTCCGCTTTAGCTGTAATAGCCGGTGATGGAGGGAGGAGCAGGGCGATGTTAACTTCCGTTAGTATGGTATGCAGCTGTATGGGGAGGTATGGGGATTAATGGGCAGAAGGCATTTGTACAGGGTAGTAGGGCGGTTCTGAAACAAAATACCGGCACTGGAAATGCCTCCAATACCGCTTCAGTTTGGTATCAGGTATCAATGATACCTATCCTGAAATGTTAAGGAAAAGTTGCTCTCTACTGCCACCATGGATGTATAATCACACCCATGCAGGGTGAGAGGTCATGCACTGGTACAGAATGAATACTTGGTATCAAATAAGTTGAACAGTCAGGTATCCCGGGGCGGGGATTAGAAGAGAAAAAATAGTAAACAACTTTAGTTGTGGATGAAGCAGGTCAGGGAGAATCGCCTGAGGAGTGGGAAGCGTGTTGCTGGGGAAGGAGGCAAACTGCTTTCTGTTCAGATGTCAAATCAAAGGAACTCTGTTTGAGAGCCGAGAGAGAAATGAAAGTCAACGACTCCACACCAGCCATTAACACACAAACACACACACACACACACACACACACACACACACACACACACACACATATACACACCACATATACACACCACATATACACACTCCCTGGGGAAGTATGTACACACATGCCAACACATCTGAAACACCCAGCAGACCCCCGCTGGAGGAGCAGATGTGGAGGGCCTGGTGGTGTGGGGCGTCCTGAGGGGGGTGATGTGGGAGGAATAACACCCGGGGGAAGAAAAGAAAAGAAAAGACCCTTTAAAAGCCGAGAATGATGTGAGTTAGCGTGTGAAGATTTCAAAACAGATTTTTTTTTGGAAGTCAAAGAGGAGTCAAGTGGACGGTGTCAGCTGTCTGGTCTGCTGGGCCGGGACGTTTTGGTTGCAAAAGTGCAGCTTCTAATTATATCTCATCTACTGTCCTCTGTCAGCGCTGTCCTCCACCCTCAAGTCCACACACACATACACACACACACACACACACACACACACACACACACACACACACACACACACACACACTCACTCACTCACTCACTCACTCACTCACTCACTCACTCACTCACTCACTCACACACACACACACACACACACACACACACACACACACACACACACACACACTCACACACACACACACACACACACACACACACACGCGCACAAAACCACTCCCTGTCTCTCTGTCCTTTTCTCACAAGCCACACTCGAGCATACAAACGTTCCAGCAGTCTTCAAACACCAAACAGATGAATTTAACATTTTCTCGACTTTTCGTCAACGTTTTTATTGTTTATTATTTCTATTGAAGTTAAGAATCCCTTTGTTTCCTTGGTTTTTTTCTTCCATTTCTAAGTTTATTTGTTTTGCACAAACACAAACAGATAAATTCCTTGAATGTGGACTTTTAATAAACCCGGATTCTGACTCTTGTGACTTCGACCGCACATTTACAGATCAGATAAAGCTGAAAGTCGATGCATGATGTGGTATAAATCTGCAATGCATGATTAAATGATTAATCATGCATTGCATGATAAGAAACCATATAGTAGCTATTACTTACATTTTATATCCATATCAGCTGTTCTGTGTTTGCAGAGTGTCCCTCCTAGATGTATAAGTCATTTTAAATATCAGTTCTTTTTGCCATCATGTTGAACACAATGAATGTGATTGTAGCTGATAGATAGTTGAGCCCCAGATCAATATACTGAGGGTTTAGTCTGACAGGTCGAATGTGTGCATGCAGAGTGAAAAAGTGCTATAAAGCATGACATGAGAGCTTACTTATAACTTTTCTAATTAATTCCCAAGGAAGAAAGTCTTTTGCGTTATGTTCATTGCACATATTCGATCTGCAATGAGGGTCAAAATTCAAGAGAGTGATTTTATGTTTCTTTTCTTTGGAAGTTTTAGTATTTTGTTTTGCATCTAACAGTGAAATGTTTTCCGATGACAAAGCGTGAGAAGTGCCTCTCCCTCCGCGTCGCTGTGACTTTGTATGTGCATGCGGACAGTTCTTTCCATGCCTCATGAGTGTGTGGCCGGCTCCGTACAAGAGGGTGATGAAGGGGCACAGATTAGGGGAATCGCAGCGAGACATTAAACCCGACTACAGGACTCGAAGAAATACCAAATCAAGCTAGTCAGTGTTTCCAAGTGCCCTACTTTTCACAAACGAGCGAGCTCCGAGCCAGGTCACGAGATAGTAAAGCGAGGGAGGGAGAGGAAGAGCTCCAATGAAAGAAGAGAGACTCAGTTCCTGCTGAAGAAACAGAAACACCAGACTTTAAATGAGTTCGCCCGAATAAACTTCTTCTGCAGTTCAAACTTCTGATTTGAGCTCTTTAACGACTGGTCAATGCTGCGAATAGCTTAAACATTACATCCTCAGTTCCCACAAAGAGATGACCTAGAAAGTTAATCTTTTCCAAGCAGAAACAAACTGAACATTGGCGTTTTGCGCTCTGTGTCTAACTGGCACTGTGTAGGAGGGAAAAAAGCAAAAATCTACAGTAAATAAAGAAGCAGTGAGCATTACTGCGGCTATGAAACATGCATGAAATTCACTTTTCCTTTTTTGTTTTTAAGAGACAGTGCAGTGAGACAGTGACCCGCTGAAACCTCCTGATCATCAGCTGATGTAAAGAGAGAGAGAGAGAGAACAGAAAAAAGAGGACGAATAGAGACAAAGCAGAAGGGGAGAGATTGTAGAGAACGAGAGAAAGAGAAGGAGCGAATGTGTGTGTGTGTGAACCCTTAAATTCAGCCGTGAAGTTAGCGTGCTCAGATGATTCCTAATAAGGTTGTAACTGGCAGTCTCAAACCTCTGTCCTGGAATAAGCTGCCAGGAAACTTTCCCCTGCTACTCCTCTCCTCTGACGCTAAGAACAGAAACAAACACACAATCCGATGTGACCCACAAGGCTCCGAAAAATGAGCGGATAAAATTAGAAAGAAAGGGAGGGCGGGGTGAAGAAGTGAAAGAAACAGTAAAACTGTTTCTGACCTTCATACAAAAAGAACAATGAGGTCAAAAAGCCGTAATTTAGACGTGCGTATCTTTTTATAAAGTGGTCTGTTTAAACCAAAGAACTCCTTGTCTTCTTCATTCTGTAATAAAAGATATTTGCTGTGCTCACTTGTCTCATGTCCGTCCCTCCACAGGTGAGAGTTGGTGGGTGACTGTTTGAAAAGCTGCCGCAGACTCAACATGGCTCAGGTGCTGCACATGGACCACGGCTTCCCAGGTGCAGCTTCTGAATAATCTGCAGAATAATGACATCATTTTGAGATAATTATTTAAACTGTCAGACAACACTCACAGTACAGTGAATGTAAGAGATGTACAGGGTCAGGTTGAAGGGGGCCGGGCCTCTCTCCACTTTGTACCTCACTTGGTGATTGTTCCAGAGTAAATACACAAATTCAAAGTTTAAACAAAGTTAATGCTATTTTCTAAAGTCTGAGCCCAAGATTAGACGCAGATTTCCGTTTGTTTAAAGTTGATTTCCTTCCCCCCCTCAGGGAAACTCAACCCGCCTGCCCCCCCCTCCCTGAACGGCAAAGAACAGGAGGCCAACTACTCAGTGGAGACCCCCTATGGCTACCGTCTGGACCTGGACTTCCTCAAATATGTAAACGACATAGAGAAGGGAAACACCATCAAGAAGGTGCCGATCCAGCGCCGGCCTCGCTATGGCTCCCTGCCCCGTGGTTACGGCTACGCCGGCTCCTGGTGGACCTCCACAGAGTCTCTGTGCTCCAACACCAGCATGGACAGCCGGCACTCCTCCTACTCTTACTGCGCCCCGGGCTACCACACAACGCAGAGGCCCAGCTTCAGCACGGCCCGGGTGGAGAAGACCCTGCTGGACGCACGCAGGAAGTTGGAGGAGGAGAAAGAGGGGCGGAGGTTTTCCAACCTGGGGAGCATGCACAGCAGCGTAGCAGGCTCAAACACCTCCATCAGCAGTGCTCACAGCTTCAACAGGGCACACGGTGGAGGGGGATCATTCACACCCATGAGCTCAGGCCTGTCCACTCCTGTGACTCCGACGCCGCAACACCTGCAGCACGTCAGGGAGCAGATGGCTGCAGCGCTCAGGAAGATCAGGGATCTGGAGGAGCAGGTTAAGACCATCCCGGTGCTGCAGGTCAAAATCTCCGTGCTGCAGGAGGAGAAACGGCAGCTCAGCGTCCAGCTCAAGAGCCAGAAGTTCCTGGGTCACACTCTGGGTTTTAGCCGCGGCCGTCCCAGAGGAGAGCTCTACATCGACATCCCTGAAGAAGAGGTGAGCACGGCGAAAAGCAACAAACCAGCAGACACGCTGTCTCCCACCACAGCCGAGGGCTCCAAGCAAGACTCAGGCTGCGAGATCGAGGACACAGTGATCGTAGGAGGAGCGAGACCAGACGCAAAACGGGAAGTGCGGACCATCGGAGTGGGACCTGAGGACTCCAAGGGAACTCGGGAGGTGGGCGTCGGTGTTCGGGAGGAGGATCTGGGGCTGCAGCCAGAGACCCAGGCTCTCAGGAATCAAGTGGGTCAGCTGGAGGGCCACTTAAAGAGGACGATGCAGGAGCTGCAGGCGGCACAGCAGCAGCAGGCGGAGGCGGGGCAGAAGGGACCTCAGGCGGAGCATCCCATCATGGCTACCAGCACAGGCTGGCAGGAGCCGCAGGGCTGCAGTCTGCACACTCTGGTCAGCTTCGCTCAGCTGCCGCAGCAGAGGGAGCAGAGGACTGTGGGGATCCAGGTGTACACGCTGGAGCAGCCCACTGTGGTGGAGGTGGGAACTCTCCTCCGAGCAGAGACCTGCAGCTCCCCCACGCCTCAGCCAGCTGAAGGAGCCGCGGAGGAACAACACAGAGAACAAGCTGAAGGTCTGGGTTCACCTGGTAATGTTTCACCAGTTTATCTACATTAACAGACCCAAGCAGCAGCCCTCTTAAAAACATATTACATTTTTAATAAATGCTCTGTAAGAGAGGTTTGAGTTAACTTGAGCTCCCTGATTTCTAGGATAAAATATTTTAAAACATTTCTTAGGATTTGAAAAACAAAGCACCAAAAATAAGAACACCCTGCAGACATTAACACCTCTCTGATACTGAAATTAAAGATATATATCAGGGTTTTTCACATCAAGATTGCATATGATTGTAAAAGATTATCTTACAAATTTTATTATAAAAACTGTTGGATGAAGTTTATTCCTTGGTATTTATGTGATAAGTTTAGGCTGAAAAGTCTTCTGCTCGTCTCACAGAAACTCCGGTCGAGTTGCCGCTTGCGATCAGCTCAAAGGAGGTACGAGACGTCTTGAAGTGCGAGCTGTCCACTTCAGAACCCGTCGCTGCTCCTGCCATCGCTGCTGATCAGATCAGTTTGTTGCCTTCAAAAGAAGCCGAGACGCTCCTGCACACATCTACAGAGGCTGCTCAGCCACAAGAAGGCGCTCAGACAGGTAACGCTGGACTCCCTAGCTGTCATATTCTAACCTCTTCCATCCTTGTTATGTTCCTAATGTGTGTGTGGTAACCGCTTTCTTTTCCAGCGTCCTCCCCTTCCTCTTCTCTGAGGTCCATTATGAAGCGGAGAGCACAAGGTGAACCAGGATCGCCTTCTACAAAGAAAAACCTACAGTTCATCGGAGTCAATGGAGGGTAAGTTTCATCCTCTAAATACAAGACAATACGGCTTCTCTGGACTGAGTCTGTTCTAGTCGAGGGTACAGCGTCAGGGGCTTTAACAAAAAGATTGAACGGCTTTTGATGGCAGCTAAACAGAACCTGTAAAAATGAGACAAAAAGACAGCATGCCTATGCACCACCAACTGCACCGCAGAGCACATTCTAACGAGAGCTCTGTTACTTTGCTTCTTTCTCTGCAAATGAGCTTTATTGCTAAAAGCATTCAATTGAAAAAACAGCAGGGCTAAGTGCAAAT